CCTCCGTACAAAGCCTGGCCCGGCCCTTGTTCCCCGAGGAAGACGCCCTGGCGGGCTCGGAGCCCTGCCCCAAGGCCAGGAAGGCCGCTAGGGAGACTTCGTCCCCACGGGGCCACATCTGTGGCTCTGATCGGCCTGGGCGCAGCCGCTGCTCTTACAAGGCCGGGCAGGGGAAGAGGTTGCAGGCTTCCTCCTCGGGGGTCGGCTTCATGCCGGGGTCGCAGTAGCTCTCGGCAACCTCTTCGTGCGTGTTTCTGTGCACACAGCGGAAAATCGGGTACTGCGATCCTGCAAGACATAGCCGGGGGCGAGGTCACCCTGCCCCTTGACAGCCGGCCATGGTGCAGATTCGCGGGCGGAAGGGAGGCCCCGCGCCGGCCAGGGCGACTGTCCCTCCCCCTCCTCTAGCTCTGTCCACCCCTAAACCCCAGGACCTAGCAGAGTGGCAGGCAGTTGTTGAATGAGTATTTGTCAGAGGTGTAATACTTATTTTTAGAACTTTTCTAAAAAAAAAAAAAAACCAACCCTGAACTGCTCCAGGTTTTTGTTTTAAATGCATAACCTACTACCGCTGGTTTAATAAAGATAAAACAATTTTCGATAAAAAGCCAGAATTTGGTAAGCAACATTTCTAGCTCTCTAGTTTTCCTTTCTATTTCTGCTGCCATCTGCTGGTAGGATTGAGGCACTACTAATGGATGTTCCGGAAGTGAGAAAAAGTTACTAGCAGAATGTGCAGTCCCAACTAACCACCTTTACACACGGCCGTCCACATCTGCCCCTCCTCAGTGTAGCCAGTTCACAACTGCTGCTGGGAAGAACACTAACTGCCATTTAGTCCAAGACTCTGCTTATCTGCTTCTAAGTGGCCAGGCATTTATAATTTTTGGACCTCCAACTTTACAAATTTAATTGTAACATTAAGGCTAACTTGTTTTGTTCTTTTGAGACAAGATTCCGCTGTTGTAGCGCAGGCTGGTCTCAAACTTCTGGTGATCCTCCTGCCTCAGCCTCCTGGCTGTTGTGGTTACAGGTGTGCACCACCATGGCACAAATGAAGGGTAACTTTTAACATAAGCATCCTACTACATCACCAGCCACAGCAGCGAGCTACAGATCCTTCATGCCGGCTTTGTGTGACATACTGGGCCAGAGGGCAGTTGTTAGGAACTCAACAGTTTGTAAGACACATTTAAATATGAAATGATCATTTACTTAAATTACTCTGGCAGTAAAAACTTACACTGCTGCTATAACTTGAGACCATTACTTAAAATAACATTCCAATTAAGCCTAATTATTAGCAGAGTAAAAAGCAGTCCTGACTATAAAATTAATGGGAAGCAAAAACTTTTGTGGGATTAAATTTTGTCCAGCTACGTATCTCCTTCCATTAAAGCAAACATTAAGCACATTATGCTGTTATAAAAATGACCGGGGCTCGGTGAACGGCGTGCAGTGTACCCATATGGGACTCAGCTATTAAGGGATTAAATAAAGATCTTATGTCACCTATCCCTATCCCTCCAGAGCTCGTGGCTTTAACTTTTCCGCTTAGGGGTTTGTGGACTGGAAAGCCAACGTCCTGCCCTAACCACTTGTTGCTCATAGGGGGACACCTAATATTTTTAGCTCAGAGGATGCGGGATGCCGCAGGAATGCCCTGGGCCTGCAGGGAGGGTCTTGCTGGGCCTGTGTGGCTGCTGGCCACTGCTTGCCTCCCCACCACCTTACCACACTCTCCCTGTCCATGGTTCAGCTCTATGAAGATGAAGCAAGGAAATGAAATCAAAGGCTCGTAGTTTCTCCAACGGTGAGAAAACACCAGATCTATACCTCTGGGCATCAGGGACTGCAAAAATTTCTTTCCTTGGGTCAGTTTTAAAATCTGCAGAAAGGCGGACTGTCCCCCAGCTGGCAAGCACCTGGACACCTTCCATTATCTGAGACCCTGGTCCAATGATCCCTCTAATTTCAAGCAATCAGGGACAGGGAGCACGGCTGGTGCTGGCTGGGCCTTGGGCAGCAGGACACATCTGGAGTTGGCTTTCCAGCTCATACGTGGGAAAGAGAGTCAGAAGGGACGTGGGTTACGTTGGAGGTGGGCGCTGGACCATGGGTAACTAGTAGGTAATAAATGAGGTGAACTGGGAACTCGGGGCATGGGGAGGTTAACTAGACAAAAGACTTATCAGAGAGCTGAGGTCATGTGGAAATCTACCTCCCTGAAATCTAGAGAGAAGGAGAGAGGAGAAGAGAAAAGGAGAGGGAGAGGGAGAGAGAGGAGAGCAAACAAGTGAGAGAGAGAGAGAGAGAGAGAGAGAGAGCTGGAACTGTAGGAATGAGGTGGGAGCCAAGCCAGCATTTTAACAGAGGTCTCAGCAGTGGCTCTATGGAGTGTGGATCCCTTGTGCCCCTTGTGGGCGGCCCCGAGAGAACAGCGCTGGGACTGGCAAGATGCTACCAAAAGCATGTGCAGACAAGTGGGGCCCAGACACGGGTGGCACAGGCAGCCCCACCAGGGAGGCCTGGGCAGCGTCCGGGAGAAGGCTTGCAAGGGGCAGAGGGTGAGATCACGGGGCTGTACGGGGACTTGGGTTGTACGGGAAAGGGCTGATGGGTGTGGGCAGGATCGGCACTTCCTGGCCGTACACCTGTCACTGCTCTGACGACCCTGGGGTGAGTTACACGTTTTGGGCATCCACATTTTCTCTCCATTTTGCCTCTCCCGCATGTTTGGGGCCACCTGTCTAGAGGAAGCAAAGGAGGGACAATCACATGCTGCTACCATTTGTCAATGGGAAGAGAAAGGACACTAGGACCATCAGACAGGGCAGGAGTGGGGGACAATTCCCTCTCTGAGGCAACTCTTTGGCTGGAAAACCAGGGCCACTTAGTGGGATAAAGAAGAGGATGGGAATGTCACATCTCAGTCACTGAGCGACAGATGCCAAGGGTGGGATGCATGCTAAATGCCATACCTTGCTCTCTAGTCGGGGGGAGAGACGGAGAGGGAGAGCCCACTCTGGGGTTGACAGAGACAGACAGACAGACAGACACTGTGTATGTCTCTGTGATGTAAAGGTGAAACGCTACCTTAGAAGATGAAATGAAATCATATGGAAACCTAGAGACAAAGATGCTACTGTTTTAAATACAGAGCCTGCATTTTATCTGCTACTCATAGACCACAGGTAAAGGCAGGACTAGGCTTGAGTATGTGGAATAGAACAATGTAAAAACCACCCCTGCATCTTTTCTTGCAGTTCCTATCCCCCGCCCCACTGTGGTGACAATGTGTCCAAGACCCACCGAGGGAGCCCATGTGCACCCCTGATGCCAGGTACAGAGGCTGCAATGTGTCCCAAACTGCCGTCAGGTCCCAAGGACAAAGTGTGCCTGCTGTGCCCTGCAGAGTCAGGAAGGCTGCATGGAGGAGGTGGCACCTGAGTCAGGTCTTGGAGAGTGAGCAGCTGTTGGCTGATCCGATACCAGAGGACAGTCAAGGAGGGAGGGTTTTTCTGTCTTTTGAGGTGGCAGGGGTGGAACCTTCACATTGGAGCTACAGCCTCAGCTTTTTTAAAATTTTGAGAGAGGGCCTTGCTAAGATGCCCAAGTGGGACTCAGACTTGAGATTGGGGGAGACAGAGTTTTTACTTCTGTGTGGATCACAAAGCCGGGGTTGGATTTGGGCCCAGTCACTGGGGTCATTCGGATATGGATGTGGGGATGCTCTATCAGGAGCAACGGAGAAGAGGGCATGGCCCGCTGATTTAGCTCCTGGTGAGTAGGCAGCTCCTGGCCAGGGAACACAGGACTGGGCGCAGTGTGAGGGACGGGCTGGCAAGCGGTCCGTGCTCCTGCCCTCACAGCACGATGTCCACCGCAGTGCCTTATGGTCCTGGGACGGGTGGCCCCTAGGGAAGCCACACTTCTCACCCTTTCTATCACTTTCCCTCTTTCTCATCCAGTTCTGAGCATCCCCGGTTCCTCTAATGGACACCACACCACCACCTGTGCAGCACAATCCTCTGAAATAATAATTTGGGTCATTGTTCCTGTGTTGATTGCATTACATACCACGAATTCCTATAATGTCATGGGCGGAAACTTATTAAAGTGATTCTGGCTCAGTGCAGAATTATCTCTTGCTTTCTGGCTCTGTCGAGACACAATCTAAGGCATTTAATTTTCCCTCCTAGAGCGTATAAAGGAAGTCAGTTCAAGGAATCTGTGGCCCACGTTCTCATAACATGTATCAAGCTTGAGTGTGATGAACTTGGCTCAATAAAACCTCTGCAAATTAGTACTCCAGTCACCACATCATTATGGAATTGGGCAGAAAGATCTCCAGTTCTCAAAGGAACCAAAGGCCTGAATCCTATTCTCAAATGCCTCAGACCAACGCCCCTGTGAAAAAGATAAAAGTTTTAGAAGTAGTTCTGAGAAATTTCTCCATGTGCTAATTGCCACTGCTCCTGAACTTCATACCCTCAGATCCAAGACTCTTGCAGAAAAGAAAAGAAAAAAATCGCCAAAGCAATACTCTGCACGGATCAAACCATTTCCCAGTTCGTAAAAAGTCCTGGGGATCCAGCCTTTCTGTTTCTACAGTAACCTCCCCTCCTAGAACAGCTGATTCAGAGGACAAAACAGAACTTCGCTAGGGATGAAAGGCTATTATCGCACACACGAAGGGCACTTGAACTACACGTTTTGTAGTTGTGTCCTTGCAAGGAGATCTAAAAAGTCACCTAGAAACAGAAGCAATGTTGATTTCCCACCCAGGGGCTCCATGTCCCTGAAGGGGTTTCTGGATCCCACATGCCACAACTCTCCTAACTTTGGAATTTCCAAGGAAACAGGGACCTTGATGCTAACCCCTTTACACACAGCCATGCTTTGCTTTGAGCCCGTCAAACCCCAGCTTCATTTAAACTTCTCTGAAACTCTCCCTGTCTCGCAAAGCCTGGAACTATCTTTTCTTTTGTTTGGAGAGATGCTTCTCAGGTGTGGGTCTCCCTTAGGCAGAGAGTTAATAAAGCTGGTTTTGTTAGGTTACAGGTGTGTCCCCCTGCTGGTCCTAGCTGACTGGGTCAAGGACAGTTGATGGATCCACAATTAAGATTTTACTGGGAGAGCAGGGAAGGGAGTTGGGCCCTTCTGAAATCCTTACGTTTGAGAATTTTTTTTTCTCTGAAATCTTGAGATTTGAGAATGAGTTTCAAATGGCATTTTTGTAAACCTTCCACAACCTAAACTCATGTATAAACGTTCAAATCTCAAATATGTAAGTATGTTCCTCAACTTTAACAAACATCCATGTCTGGAAGGCTTAGCTCAGCAGGCCTGGGTGGCCCAGACCCTGATGTTTGTAAGCCAGGCCTGTCCTCAGGAGCAGACCTTGGCCAGCTGCTGGGAGACCAGCGTGGTCCCTTGGAGAACTCCACCTGAGAGGAGCGTTTCTCTACACTGAGCATGTGGGCCCTGACATGCACATTTAACAACTTGATTTATGACCGAGGTGTGGCTTACAGTGGACACTGCTTTTGGATGTCTGAGCCTTGACCGTGACCTCTGGGGTAGCTGATCTTATGCCTCTGTGACTTGTCCCTAGGAAAACCCTGGACCCTAGAGCCTGGGTGAGCATCCTGGGGACTCTGCGGGGTGTCTCAGGACCTCTAACACAACATGTCACACCAAGGGCCTGTCTCATGGGCAGGATCAAGGCGCCGAGGGATTGCTGTGTCCCGCGTCCCCGGGGCCCTCCCTTCTGGCCCGGTTCTGTGGAGAACCATGTCCCATGCACAGGCTCACCTTTCCCGCAGGTTGTCGAGCACTCCGTGGTCCCCAGCTGTTTCCAGTTGTGATCCCGGCTCCGCCTCGGGGGCTGCGGCGCTGGTGGTACCGAGTTGTCTGGCCGATGGGAAGGAAATCTGTCTGGATGCCTGACGGGGAAGGTCTGAGCCACTTCAGAGGTGAAGATCTCCCGGGCCTCGCCTCGGAAGTCCTCCTTCTCCTCCGCCCGCTCCTCCTGTCTGCCTTCCTGGCTCCTGCCTTCGGCTTCCAGCTGGCCATTTAAGGGCTCCCCTGGGACAGGCCGGCGACACACAGCAAGACCAGGGTGGACACAGAGTTGAAAGAGGACTCGGTTTCAATATTAGAAATCATGTAGTGCAAGATCATTTCTATTTCTCAGCACTGAGCACACGACATTTAAAAGAAGCAGACGCTAATTTCCCTAATATCTAAAACACTATCAAAAATCAATAAGAAAAAGGAAATGAGGGAAAAGAAAAAATGTGAAGAAAGGAAAAAATGGAAACAAAGTCTTTGTAAATAGGGAAGGGTGAAGGGGGTGCAGGGAGGGCAGGGGTACGGGGGAAAAAATAAGAACCAAGACCTGTCATGTAAAGGTACAAGATCCCAGTGATAAAAGTAACTGTATTGTTTGCTTTAAATACACCAATAAACTTAATGGGGAAAAATCAATAAGGAAAACATGGACATTCCAATGGGAAACAGGGCAAGGGCTTTGGCAGGGCAGTTTCCATTAAAAAGAAACAGAAACCCAAAGTCAGGCAAAAATATTCCACCTGTAAATGAGAGAAATTACCTCAGAGACCAGAAAGGGATAACTACTTAATGGGACTGGAGATCTTGGAAGTCCTTAAGACCCCACAGCCCTGGCCAAAGGTGCAGAAAAACACAGTTTTATTCACTGTTAGCCTGCAAGTAGTCATCCATTTTTGGAGGACAGTTTGACCTTAACAGCCAACACTGAGATGCATGTACCTTTGATTCAGTGACTCAGTGTCCAGAATTTTCAGCATACAGTTAAATACTGTTTTCTTTGCATAACGCTGGTATACAAGTATTGTTACTAGCGTATTACTGGAAAGAGTAAAAACAGTGAGGACTTCGATGTTCACTGGCGGTAGTGTTTAAAATATATTATGCTACACTCTGTTTTTATTTGAAAAAGAATGCAGAAATATATGTTCTGACAGGGACAAAGGGCTCCAGCGTGGTGTCTGATCAGCAACAACACAAAGGGAGCACAGGATTTGATCTGTATGCACGCTCGCAGATGCAGTAGGTCGCTTTTTGAGTTACTAACTTTTGTGTGGTTTTCCACCTGTTGCCCTCTCTGCTTCTCCAGTCTGAAAGAGTAGCCTTGCCTCTTTAGATTTTCTGGCATCACTGTTTTTGCAGGAGAGAAAATGGAAGCGGCTTGAAGTCAGCAGCTCTCTCACCACAGTGCAAGCCTGGGCTCTTGGGAAGGGGAAAGTGGAGGTCCAGAGGCAATGGCTGAAGAGGAAGTGGAAGCAAGAACACAGCACGAGGAGGAAGAGGAAGAGGAAGAGGAGGAGGGAGAAGGCAAAAAGAGGAGAGGGGAGGAAGGGACAGTGCTGTCAGACAGAGATGATCCCAACACAGGAGACGTCAACGTGGGTTTCTGACCAGCTTACATGGGCCAGGCAGGAGGAGGCCGTGTCTGGGGTGTGCTTGGGGCCCTGGCTCCCCAGCATCCTGAGCCCCCAGCACAGGCTGGAAGAGGCACAGTCCTAACCGGAAGGTCGTGAAGGACGCTCCTGGGGACACCTCCGTGGAATCGGTACGGAGAGACCTCCAGAGGTTGCGGCCAACGGCCCACTTAAGACTCTGGGATCTCTCCTCTTACCTGGAGTGTGTGTGCCTGTAGCTCCCATACTGACTGAGACTGCATTTTTTTTTTTACCAGTTTCAGAGAAGATTGAAACTGACGTTGGATTAAGCTGACTAATGAAAAACAAGGATATTTGAAATCCCTCGCATGTCTGAGATTGTAGCAAAGATTCAAATCGCCCGCAGACAATATTTGCCCATGGACAGAAAGGGCTTCGGCCGAATCCCATCAAATTAAATTGTGCAGAGAGATTCCCTCTGGGAAGGGGACGGGGACGGAGGCTGCTTTTTGTTAAAAAATAAAATTATTTTTTAAGAGCAATTCTTGGTTCATAGCGAAACTGAGCGGAAGGAACAGAGATTCCCCACAGCCTCCGCTCCCACACACGCACAGCCTCACGACCAACAAACAGCCCATGCCACAGGGCACATCTGTCACACTGACGAAGCCCATCTCCACGCCACTGTCACCCAGGGTCCACAGCCCACATGAGGTCCACACGCACAGATGTGACCACATCCGCGGGTCTGGACACGTGTGAGCGACAGGCACCCACGGTTGCGGTGTCATACAGGAGGGGACGCTGCCCCACAGTCCCCGTGTTCCGCCCGCCAGTCTCTCGTGCCACCCAGTCAACTGCGGATTTTTTTTTTTTTCCTTTATAATTCTGACTTTTCTAGAAGGTCAGGCAATTGGAATCAATCAGAATGCAGCCCCTTCAGCCTGGCTTTTTCATTTAGGACCATGCATTTTTTGATCCTTCTGTGTCATTTGGTAGCTTGAAAGCTTTTATTCTCACCCCCAAATGTCACTGGGGGTCTGGATGCTGTCCACCCATCCATTCACCCACTGAAGGGCACATCTTCCTGGCTTCTGAGTCTGGGTGATTATGGGGCAGATGTTTTGGATTTATAGATTTTCATTTTGCTTCAATATCATTCAAATGTGTATCAGTTTAATAAAAAAACAAGGAGGCAAATTCTAGAGTTACTGTAGGACACAGAGGAAAAATGTTAGGGCTTTCTCCATCTTTTACTGGTACTTTATTTTTTTATTTAGTTTTGAGACAGGGTCTCATCTATGTAGTTGAGACCGACCTGAAACTCACTAAGTACCCCATGCTGGTCTTGAACTCACAGCAGTCCTCCTGCCTCAGCCTCCGGAGTGCAGGGATTACAGGCGTGCTCCACCACACCCGGCTTTACTGGTACTTTTTTAATTGGTTGATTATGATGCTTTGAGGTTTAAAATGTTAAAGGAAGATTAGACCAACAGAAGGGAGGCCAGGCATGTTGATATTTACGTGGCTGTCCAGGATATTATCAGACAAACACTTCTGAATCTTCCTAGTACCTTGCTGGGTACTATGCTAATTGGACACCCAATTTATTCACCTCTCTCCACATTCCCCAAAAGACCACTTTCAACTATAGTTTCTTTTCCTCTACTTTGAAGACTGGGAATGGAATCAGAGAAGTTACTGACCAGCCTGAGGGTGCACAGCAGCAAAGTGACAGATGTGGATTCAGACTCTGGCGTCCTGATCTGTTGACACAGAGCAGGGAACCTGGTTCCCATTGCCCCCCACCCCACCCCACCCCCTTTACAACTGACCCCTTCTGACCTGTGCTGCCCCAGGCAGCTGATGCCAGAACCTTCCTGTTGCCCATTTGCTGGACCTGTGCACCTGTTCTCAGACATCGTCATTACACTTGACCTCAGTGTGTCTCATCGTCCCTAAAAATCAACAGCAGGTCCCTGAGCACCCACCACACGCTGTCCCCAGGCAGCCAGGCCAGTCCTCCGCAGCCCGTGACAGTCAGATGATCAGTTACCAACCTGTGGCCCAGAGAAGGATGGACTAGACGGCTCTGGCATTTATCCCCTCTCTGCTAGGACCGGCGCCAAGCCAGGAGCCCTCCGGGCAGGGTGGGCACACAGGCTGTCCTGAGGTCACTGAGCAGGGCTGGATGTGGATGAGGCAGCCTCAGAAGAGGCTGATAACCCAGTAGCCCCTCCCTCCGAGCACTGCTGTGAGGTTTCAGAGACTGGGGTCCCAGGGCCTGTGGGCTCCCGGTTATCAGTTTCTTCACAGCGTCCATCTTCTCACAGTCAGCCACTGGGGAGGGCTGCAGGCAGCGGTGCCCCATCTGGGTCTGGGCCAGAGCTGCCGTTTCTGTCCACCGGCAGCACCTCAGGAGTTCCCCAGGTGGATCGCTCAGCGCAAACTTGCCATCCTTTTCTGGTCTGTCAAAGCGTGATTAACAGAGGAAGTGGCAGACCAAGAGGAACGCAAAACTTGGGCAAGGTCCCTAATTTCTGGAACCTGTGATCTTATGTGGCAGAAGGGACTGGGCAGGTGTGATTACACGAAGGGTTTTGAGGTGGCCAGATCGTCTGGCCGGGCCACGTGTGATCTTAAAAGACCCTGGAAAGGAGAGATGCAGGAAGATGAGAAGCAGAGGAGGCGTGGTGATGGAAGAAGTCAGAGTCGGAGGAGACAGGCCCGAAGGTGCCACCCCCCCCCCGGCTTGGAAGGTGGAGGAAGGGGCCAGGAACCAAGGAAGCCAGGGATCCCCAGAGCTGGAAGAGGGAAAGAAGCAGGTTCTCCCCCAGAGTGATGAGGATGCCCCCGCTGACACCTTGATTTTGGTCTTGTGAAACCCTTCAGACTCTGAACAATAAGACAGTGAGCAGCTAGGCTGGAGGTGCTTTGCTACAGCAGCAACAGGAAATGAGCATGAGACGCCTCAAAAAAGGATTGGAAAGGTGGATGAGGACTGTGCTTCCCTTTTAAATCAAGCACAGTGCATGAAACAATCTCATTAGCGAGGCCTGGATGAACGCATAGCATGCTCTGACATCGAGACCCACCAGCTCCACGTGGGCTTTCTCTGCACTGCTTGAGAGACAGAGGGTGGAGGCACAAGGACAGAGAGAGTGAGAGGCCTTAAGAGGAAGGGACTTGAAGTGCTTGGTGGCAAAACAGGAATCCTACCTGGTCTCCTCTGCGGCAGCACTTGTGGGCTGATGGCGTTGGTGCCCATGATGATGTACTCGTAGTGCACGCCGGGGTTGGGCTGCTGGTGAATCATCTGGTGACACAAAAGTCAGCGTCACTGTGCTCAGCAGCCATACATAGCCTCTTTCCTGCTGCCCCAGGTTTCAATGGTGTAAGTGGCAACCTAGTATCATTAGCAAACCTGTGACAAATTAAATGTTGCAATTTCCAGATTGCGTCTCACCAAATGCTTATTTGCACCCCCCCCACAGGAGACAGGGTCTTGCTAAGTGACTCTGGTTGGCCTCATACTGGTGATCTTCCTGCCTTAGCCACTGGAGTAGCTGGGAATACAGGCACGCACACTATGCCCATCTCATCATGTGCTTCTGAATAATGAAGAACTTAATCCTTAAGGGAAGCAGAAGAAAATGACACCATGAGTCAAGCCTTTAGAAATTCCAAGTAGGAAGCCGGGAGCAATAGTAGCAGATCTGCTCTGCTGGCTCTCAGGCATCCTCTACCTTGGCGTATGTTCGGCTCTAAATGTACCAAGTCCATAAATATATTTACACAGCAGGAGCATCGGTTCGAACACTAGGTAATGAGACAGAAAACAGGCAAACAGGGCCGAGACACCCTTGGCAGAGAGGGCCTGGAACATGAGGGTTGTCCTGCACTCGGCCAAAGAGGCCAGCGCAAGGTTGGCCCCGGTCCTCTCCCTTGTTGGGTCTCAGGGTTCTGCCTCCATGGAAAGCCCCAGAGCCACCAAGAGACCAGGTCAGAGAAACAAGAATGCGGGAAGTACGTATCCATGGGCCACACTGTGGCCAGCAACAAGCTGTGGAAGTCAGCAGCTGGACAGTGTCTGGACAAGAGCACAAATCAGAAACGAGCATCTATTTCCTAAATGTTTCACTGTTGGCCATGCAGCATGAAGTCCTTCCTGGCCATGGCTGTCATGGAGGAGGAAGGTGGACTACACAGGGCCATGGGACACAGACATGACCTGGAAACAGGAGCTGAGCCAGGAGACACTGCCATGTTTGCTGTTTCTGTCTGGCTTGCTTTATGAAGCAGCTGACCGGCTGTGAGACTCAGAGCATGGCCTTAAACCCCACAGATCTTGATTTCTTCACCCGGAGAAGGAGGAGATGAGAACCAAAGCTGGCTCTTAGCTCTGTCAACCTACAAATGTCTTTGAGGGCCTGCGTGAGGAGGCCTGTGCTGAGCCTTCCATTGATGTCACTGTCTCTCACCCCTCCTGGCTTGTGAAACGGGTCCCCATTCCATCAGGCACCCAGAAGAAGCCCGGGGTCCTTTCCCCAGCGACCAGCACCAACTCCTGGGCACCGCAAGACTCTGATACTGAGCACCGAACCACCGAGGGACACAATTGTGTGACCTCAGGCTCCCGCTGTCTACCCTGGTCCCCTCACTTCCCTTTCCACACAATCTCTTACTGCTTTCCCTTTCATTCCACCAGTATGAGCCCTGTCCCGTTTGTGAGATTATTGTTGGCTGCCTTCCTCAGACCACCCACTGCAGGCCTTCAACAACCCTTGTCTTTACCTCTGATACCATTCAACATTCACCCGGAGTTAACCAATCGAGTGGACAGCCTAAAAAAATACCCTAAATTAACTATAACAAGGCTTCCTTTGTAATTTCTAGTCCACTACACCCAGGAGGAATGGACTCAGAACTATATAGTTGGAGAAGTCATCATAATGCAATTAATATTTCTAAAACTTTGACACAGCAAATGTCATGTAGACCAACCTGGCTTTGGGGACATCGAGAGACTGCGTATTTATGGGTTAGCTCATTCTCTCTATCCAAACGTTATTTTAAGCTCTTATTTCTTGTCACCCTTTATTCCCTGATCTTTTCAGAGGACTGGATTCTAATGGTTTCCTTTAAAAATAGGGACTATTTTTAACCCGTGGGGAACTTAATATGTTAGTTTCCGACTTCTAGTAAACCTTGATGTTGTCACTCTGAGCTTTACTGTTTTGTGTAGAGTGGGCTGGGGTGCTTGTTTCTTCATTTGCTGAAATAGAGTTTGAAGTGGTCTTGTCTTGCACGAGGCATTTGTTTTCTTTTGTCATGAAGAGAAAATATGCCAAATTAGCAGAGTTGGAAAGTGCCTGCAGGAGATCCAGTGCTCATGAAATAGAGGATATATTTTGCCTCTGATTTGGTTGAACAAATAAAATTGGTTTTACTGGATCAAATAAAGTCTGAGGGTAACACCCATCTGGGAGAGTTTAAGGTTCCTATGAGCTAGGTACATTCAGAGGTAAATGGCAAAGATGACTGCCAGGCATTTAGGGGTACCTCAGATGGGCTCTGCACATAGGATTTAATGGAACTGGGGGAATGATTTGTTGCTTATTTGTTCTAAGTGTGTACCTTGGAAGCAAACAACACGAAATCCGGAGAATAGTCCAGAAACATGCAAACTCACATAGACATCCAAGATCTCGTTAGTGGGACCTTCAGCCAGAAAGGACTCTCCAGCAGTGCTCGAAATCTCATTGGGACGCTTGTAGGTGAACATGGTCCCTCCACCCTCGTATTTTCCGGGACGGTCAATCGCCCAGTTCCCATTGATGATGGAGCGGCCAGAACGACTTCGCAAAGCTGTTGAGAAGAAAAGAGATGGTTCCTCAGGTGAGCTCAGAGTGTGCGCAAGAGACGGAACTGACTCTCTAGGCAGTGGGCATATCATTCACCCATCCAGGCTTTCCTGGTCGCCCAGCATGTGCCAGGCACCGAAGGAGGTCCTGGGCCATGACCAGGCACCCCGAGTACCTCTCCTGGGCTTTATCGCTTCCCGTACTCTGGTCCTCTCTGCCACTTGGACTCAGAGAATAAATGAAGGATGGGAGTGGTTAGGAGAGAAGGATGTGGAGCATGAAAGGGAAAGAGGAAAGTTGGGGGAAAGATTACAAAGTGGGAGAGAGGAAACTAACTGATATTACGCATATTACCTAGGTAGAGGTTGTACGCGGACAGCCCAGCGGCTGATTTTGGCCCATAGAAGGGCTTAGTTTGGCTTCTGAAATGTTTTTTCTTTTCTTTCTTTTTTAAATAATTGAGCCTAAAGTTAAGAATTGGGAGATTTCATGAAAGAAGTTTAGAGTTCTAGCTCTTCTTGTAAAACAGCAAAACATGTTAACATTGGCTCCTCATCCCCTCCTGGCCCCCACCAGCTGGAGCCTGGCAGAACTGCCTTCTTCATGGGGTGCTGAGTGCTCCACATTGCTCGACCCCCCGAGTCCCTATCTCTCCCCCACAGTGAGGCTAGGCCTCAGTTCACGCATACAGAAGGTTCATATCATTTGTCATCACACTTTTTTCCCCTTATGAAATAGAATTTTTCTTATAATTCTTGTATGTCTACGAAAGCTGGTAATGCTAAGGATAGGCCAAGAGGGTCCCATGGTTTTCTTCCGCACCTGGGCAGGTTCACATTCTGATCCTCCCTGGCTTTTACGACCCCTGGAGGCTGTGGGCTGCGTTAGGTCCCCTCACACTGTCAAACGCACTCCCAGTGACACTGCTGAGCAGATGTTATCTTCATTTCCGGAGATTGGTTCAGAGGGAACAGGTGCAAATTTACAAGGATCACAAGACACAGATCTGTGTTTTGGAGTCCACACCCAGAAGGGAGGTGAGAAAGGAGGACACAGAACAAGGTGTTTGGGTCAGCAGGAGAAGAAACAGCAGCATCTGAAGGTGGAATTTCTAGAGTGACACTGGCACTCGGAACCCAAAAGCCAATGGTGGCTTGGGTTTAGAGAAGGTCTTATCTTTGATGCCACATTGGACATTATGGACCTGTGGGCTACAGAGGATCTGTGATGGCCACTGGTTCTTTGGACCCTCACTTCACAGAATACCTAAATTTAATGGTAATCATTTATTATGGAAAAATTTCTCCATAAACAAAAGTAGGGAGAACATATAGCATCACCCAGCTTTAACAATGATCAATTTGTGGCTTATCGTGTTTCACTTTGCAAATCCCCGACCCTGCTTCTCCTTAAAAATTTCAGCAGGTGTTACAAAAATATTCTGCTATTTTTTTTTTTTCCTTAAACCTATTTGCAGCAGTGTTTCTTGGATGGGCCCTCCTGGAGACCTGGCCTGCAGAATCAGCAGCTTCATGAAGAGGCAGGACAGTCTCCAAGGCATTTTTTCTGAGCACTCCAACGTGGCTGGCTTGTTGTCATGGCTACTGGGAGACCACAACTGGGACCTCTGAATCCTGAGTTATAAAATTAATTCAGCTTACTGAGCAGGAAAAACAAAAAAATCAAGATGGGAAGAACAGGCTTAGGGTTGGGTTTACTTTTAAAAAACTTAAGGATCACATTTCTTGAGTGTGGTCCAGACAGTGTTTCCTTACTTCCCACTAATTCCTCAACCATCTCCTATCTGACTCATTCCATTAATGAAAGTGAAACAAAGCAGGACAGTCTAGGAGGCTGAGGACAGCAAGTGCAAGCTTAACCTAGGCAACTTGGTGACTTAGCAAGACACTGTTTTGAAATAAAAGATTAACAAATGGGCTAAAGATGTAGCTCAGTGTGAAGACGCTGGGTTCAACCCTCAGTTCCCAGTATGATGAAAACAAGGCAACCCCTCCCCTAAATCAAACTAATGTCACTAGGACCTCCATGTTGTTAAATCCAATGGCCATTTTCCAGGCCTCCTCTTTCTGGATGGATTAGCAGCAATGGGTCCTTTCTGCTTCTGGGACCCCCATCCTCAGCCTGCTTCCCTCCAGCTCTCAGCCTGTTCATCTGTTTTTGTTGTTGTTGTTGTTTTGTTTTGTTTTTTGCTTTATCTTTCTCGGTGGCCACTAAATGTTACGCTTCCTTAAGGATTAAGAGTAGACGTAGACCTGCTGTGGGCTCTGTATTCCTTTCATGAGCAACTACATCTGCTTGTGACTTCAACTTAGTCTGTGTTAATGACTTCTGGATTTATTTCCCAGCCCAGATTTGCCTCTGGCCCCAGACGTTGATATCTAGTTGTCTACTTGCTTTCTCCACCTGGACGTCTCTTTTAACACCTCGCCCATCCTGCTCCTCTTGCAGCATTTCCTATCTCAGCAGCGGTACCCTCCTCCATCTAATCAGAAACCTGGGAATCATCCCAGACACCTACTCCCTTCCTTCTCCCCTGCATCTGATACATCATTACATTTTACTCAACCTCCTCCTCATTTCTTAAAGCACCTGCGACTCCTCAGTTTCTTTGCTAGGGTCAAGGTAGCACAGATCTCATCTGGACTAATTCAAGGACCTTCTCATTGGTCTCTCTCTTTTCATTTCACACTGAACAAGTTATTCAGAATTCAGGTTAGATCACCACTATGGTTCAAACTCCTCCTGTTGCTTTTGGTTGCTCAGGGATAGAAAAAGCAAGTCCCACCATTCGATGGACCCGGTCTCATCTGGGCCACTGGTTTTCTTCTCTCTGTGGTCTCCTCGAGGGCATTAGCTTCCTCCACATGCAGCCCCCTCTTCTGGAAATGAGTTCCTCAACTCCACATCCCACCCATTCCCGGATGGCAGCTTCTCTGGGGAAGTCTTCTCCTGCCCAGTCCAGCCGGTCTCCTCCCTCATGTGCTCTGAAAGACGCACGGGTTTCCTTCCAGGATTTTTCCTTAGTTTGTTCATATGCCCATCCCGATAATCATTTAATATTTTACTCCTAGTTCACTGTAAACTGCACAAGGGCAAAGACGGTGGTGTTTATTCACTGCTTCAGCCCGCAGGCCCAATAAGGTGCTCCCCACATAGTAAGAACTGAATAGACATTTGTTGAATGTAAGTAAGCTTGGCAGAAAAAGGCAAAGAGCTCACAACAAAGACAGGCAAAGAATAATACATAGGCAACTCATGGAAAACCAAGTACAAGTGTTCCATCAGCAAACGAAAATTGGCTCTGCCTTACTTATAATCTAAGAAATGCAAATCAAAACCACAATGAGATATTTCTGACCCACTAGACTGGCAAACATTTAAAAAAATGTAATGCTGTCAGTGTCACCAGGTGTGAAAGCAAGCAAGAACCCACAACACGGGTGGTGAGAATGTAAACCCACGCGGCCACAGTGGGGGTCAACGCGGTCACACTGGTAAAACTTTAAAATGCTCATATACTTCAACCCCGAAATTGGACTTCCAGGAATCTACTTAAGCAGTATGCTTCTTCTTCTTCTTCCTTTTTTTTTTTCTTTTTTTTTTTTTTTTGGTACCGGGGATTGAATTCGGGTCCTTGCTGCTTGCAGGGCAGGTGCCGGAACCACTGAGCTAAATCCCTAGCCCAAGCAGTATACTTCTATAACTATACAAAAGTGTTTGCGAGAAAGATAGCTTCTTTTTTTCTAACTGGGGATAGAACTCTGGGCCTCGGGTACACCTAGTTCACGCTCTACACTGTGGTATACCCCGAACCCCCTGTGTTTTTTTTTTTTTTAATAGAGAAAAACCAAAATCAACTTGTGTCCATCAGTAAAGGGTTTGTTAGGTAACTTGTAACATTGGACACTCAATGAAGACCAAGGGCCCTGCAAACAATGAGATGGGTCTATGTGGGTGTGGAAAGAAACTCCAGGATACATTTTTTTGTACCAGGAATTGAACTTGGGTCCTTGTGCTTGTGAGGCAGGCAGCAGAACCACTGAGCTAAATCCCCGGCCCTCCAGGATACATTTTGAAGGAAACGGAAAGGCAGAAGGGTGTGTTTGGTATGACTTAATTTGTGGTTTTTTTTTTTTTTTTTTCTTTTTGGTACCAGGGATTGAACTTGGGTCCTTGCGCTTGCAAGGCAGGCCACCAAACCGCTGAGCTAAATCCCCAGCCCAACTTAATTTGTGTATACTTTTTTTTTCCTCGTACTGGGGCTCAAACTTAGGACCTTGGGCTTGAAGGTGCAGCACCGCTGAGTTAAATCCCTGGCCCCTGTGTATACTTTTAAATAAAAACATATAGGTAATATTTGCATATAAAACTGTTTAGAAAAGCAGTCATAAAAGTTAACACATAGGGACTTACACTGTGGTGGGAGATAAGAAAGATTTATTTCCTACTTTATCTTCTTACTACCAGTTAAGAATTGTCTTACCATATGCATGGATTATCTTCATTAAAGCTTAAACACTTTTGATTGTATAGAGGACAGGGTACAAGCTGAAATCCTCCCGCAGGAAATAGTCATTTTGCCTCTTGCACAGCTTCTCCTTAAAATCCCATTCACAGCATTGAAAGCTCAGAATTGAGGTAGATTCTGGCTGGGATTTTATTGCTGGGAAAGGCAATACTGCAGTTATCATCTGGAAACCAAAAGTCCATTAAAGAACCATTTGAAAGACTGTGCAGGAGAAAGCTGTAAGAGCTGCTCTAGGAAATATAAAAATGGAGACTCTGAATCTTTTGACCACTGACTACTGTTACTCTCCCACCTTTTCTACAGGTTTAGATGAATCTTCAACCATACCCCATAATGGATCATTTCTTAAAAATCAGATCTTTTAGCAAAATGGTTCTAATTTTGTACACCCAGGGGTTGGCTTCTGAAATGGTTCCATATCTGGCCCTACTTGGCCTTATGTTTAGAAAACAGCT